CATCAAAGTCACAATTTCCTTTTATAAACCGCACTCACACAGTACCTTTCTTTTAACCTACTGCAAAGCACGTACCATTTTATCCAGTTTACTTTTCAGATTATCCCGTTCGATACAAGCCTCTCGATAGGCTTGGTAGGCTTTGTTAACCTGCTCGCGGCCGACAGAGCTTGCGCTTTCTTCCAAATGGGAGCCAAGAACCTAGACGATTAGAGGAAAATGCAAAAATTACATTTTTCCTAGCTTTGTTACTCAAAGAGCATCAAATTTAAATACTTCAAGTGAAACAAATTAACTGGCAGCCAATAAACATGGGTTTACCGTGGGCTATAGCTCATTGTAGACAGCATCAGCTGTGCATACAGAGCAGCTCAGGATCAATCCCCAGCATCTCCCTGGGGATGAACCCGCTCTGAAATTCCAGATAGCTGCTGCCAGTCAAAGTAGAGAGAACTGGGCTACATAAACCAATGGTCTGACTCAGCAGAAGACAGCTTCTTGCATTATGGTGCATAATTTTTTTATTAAGAAGTCTCTTACCATTCCCTTTGTGTTCAATTATCCTAAAGGTAAAGGGACCCCTGACCGTTAGGTCCAGTCGTGACTGACTCTGGGGTTGCGGCGCTCATCTCGCTTTACTGGCCGAGGGAGCCGGCATACAGCTTCCGGGTCATGTGGTCAGCATGACTAAGCCGCTTCTGGCGAAACCAGAGCAGTGCACGGAAATGCCGTTTACCTTCCCGCCCTAGCGGTACCTATTTATCTACATGCACTTTGACGTGCTTTTGAACTGCTAGGTTGGCAGGAGCTGGGACTGAGCAACGGGAGCTCACCCCGTTGCGGGGATTCGAACCGCCGACCTTCTGATCGGCAAGTCCTAGGCTCTGTGGTTTAACCCACAGCGCCACCCATGGTCTGACTCTGCAGAAGACAGCCTCTTACATTATGGTGCATAATTTTTTTATTAAGAAGTCTCCTACCATCTCCTTTGTGTTCAATTATCCTACTCGTTGCTAAAGAACAACAACCAGGTACTAATTATAATCATACCAGAAAAGTAATGTTTTGCTATTGAAACTTTTGGCAATTACTATTTTCACATGTAAAGTGCACAGCCATGTCTACAATGGGTTCCATAGGAATCACTCCCAGATAAGTGTGCATAGTAATGCAGCCTTAAGATACCTTATCATTCCCCCTCCCCCCCAAAAAGGCATGTTTCTGTGAATTGCTAAACAGTTACTTACCTTTTCTTCTAGCACTCTTACTCTTTTCTTTAAGAGGGAGTTCTCCCTTTCTGTCTCTTTCAGTCGTTTTTTGATATCTTCATAAGCAGTGACAAGTGCAAAATGTGAAGCAACAGACTCTTCGCCTGAATACACGGGGGTAGGAATTTCTCCATCTTGCTTAGGATGAGTGTCTGCTTTTTCATGGTTCAAAATATAAATGTCATCTTCGGCTAGTTCATCCATGGCAGCTGAATAGAAAAGGCATGTTGTTATGAAAGATCCTAAGTATATATCACAAGCATTTAATATCTTTCAGATTGGAAGAAACGCTGAGGAGCACTTGTTATAGTTTAGCCTTTACCAGAAAATATCACCTCAAGCTTACAATAGATTTCCCACTATAAAATTATGAAGTGGCTCTCAGATGACAGTAAAGTATTGATGTTAAAAATAGCTATTTGATTTTGTTTTTTTATCTAGAACATGTTGGAAGGGATCCTTCCCAAAGCTTCCATTAATATGCTGTAATACAGTGGGCAAGCAGGGCTGGGCATCTGAAAGTGAGCCGTACAGCTTAGAATCCATACAGCATCAATACACACTTCAACTGAAATTTGATTCTAAACCAGCTAGTTGATTCCTCCTCTCCCTACAGATTTAGTGTTGATTATTTTTCACTCTTGGCGAGTTACATCTAGCTTTGATTCAGTTTGAATGCATATTTTGAAATCCACTCATGGTGTTGAAATGCCTATTCCGAAGTTTAGAAGGGAAAGAGAGGGTCCAGGGAATTTCCTTTTGGTGCAACTTCCTTTTGGTGAAATCAGAACATAATTTAAACACATACAGAAACCACAACCTCCTCCTTTCATGAAAAAATAAAATAAGCTAATGAGAAATGTTAGGTTACCTCTAAAACAGGAAGTTCAGCAAGAAAGGATCAGTTTCCAACCTGACTTAGTAAATAAAGTGTTCGAATCAGATGTTTACAGTGCTCTTAGACAAGAGATCCAAGAATGCTGTATGGTGGAAAGGACGGTAGCTCAGTTGGTTAGAGCGTGGTGCTGATAACACCAAGGTTGCAGGTTCGATCCCTGTATGGGACAGCTGTATATTTCTGCACTGCAGCGGACTGGATTCGATTATCCTCAGGGTCCCTTCCAACTCTACAGATCTATGATCTCAGAATTTAAAGTTGAAGAGAAGGACTATTTGAAAATATTTGTCTGAGAAATGGGATTCTGCACAACACATGTAACAATATCTAATGTTATGAAGACTTTACAGGCAGTTGTTGATGAGATCTCTGGATTATATCTCATTTCAAAAGTTCTAAAGTTATATCATGGTCTGGAGAAACAAACCTTGGGAACAAGAGTCTACAAAAAAAAAAATCTTCTAATGATAGTACTGTTTACATAAGAACTTCTTCAACTAAACATTCCTGGAGTAAGAGCCAAGTCTTAGAGAAAAAATGTATCTTCACCAAATCCCTTCGGCTTCTTGCACCCATGTCAAAGTCTCAAGTCCTTTCCTATTTTACATAGATGTTGAGTTTTCTGAACAGTATATGGTGCATGGGATAGCTCCAACTTTCTTCCCTTTTTTTGGCAAGGGAGGGGGAAAGGTGCCAACTTGACCTAGTAAAACTCCCTATCTTTCTTAGGTGGGAGGTTGGAGAAGAAAAATGAACACACAGCTGAGAAACCATCCCAGAGTATCCTGCAACTTCACAAGCAACAGTAAAGTAAGTCACTTGATTTAAGGATAGACACAAAGCAGTCGGGACTAGAAGCAGAGGTCAGTAGTTTTGGAAAGAAACCTTGACAGTTGCTTTGACCTATTAAGGCAAGAGAGAGAACAAGTGCTCTTTGGGCATGGACTGTGGGCAAAGACTTCTGCTCTTCCCCACTGATCTCCAATTCCAAGTGCCACAAAGCTGTTATTGGACAAGGAGAGGGGTATGGAGCTATAGATACAGGAAGAAACATTGTAGACAGTTTTACAGAATTGTTTTTTCCTATGTAAATATTTAAAGGCGAGGAAAGCAAGTGTTGTGGGTCACATTAAAAGTGTAATTCAACATACTGAATAACTTAGTGAAACACTTCTATTAAGTTGATTAACATGTCCTTTAAAACGTGCTCTGTGTTGGGGGTTATTGTTTTGTTTTTGCTCCAGTTTTTATGTCTTTTTATGATGTGAATGGCCCAGAGATCTTTGGGTGAAGGGCAATATACACATCTATATTCACACACACATAGCAGGCAGTCAAGTGTGCTTCATCACAAAATTTGTCCCAGCTTCCCAGTCTGTAGCAAAAACAAGCACATTTCTTCAGCCTTGTGGGCCATTTGCAAGATGTCAGCTTCCCACCACGAACAAGACCTAGAAAGGCTCCACATTCTTAAGGCCAACATAGGAGATGGGATGTTTGTCAGAGCTGCGACACTTCACACGACCGAGCATTTATTTAAGACACGCACATTATTAAAACAATACCAAGGTGCTGCACCACAAACTTAGGTGCAGCAAAGCCATTCAATAAAAACCGCATACTGCAAGGGATCATTCCAGCTGGCATGGGGGGGGTGGGAAGAGAAGCTGGAATCAATCGTTTGTCTTTAACAGCTGGATCCTTCTATATGGTTCCCAACGTGGGGCACACGCCACGCAGGGGGGCAATTTGATTTTTAAGGGGGGCAATTCAAGAATGAGTTATTAGCAGTGGCTTCCTCCACGTGAATAGGAGTTCACTTTTTGAATAATAAGCATTATATGTCGAGGAGGGGGGGCAATCGGGATTTTAGAGATGCTTAGGTGAGGCACGGCCAAAAAAAAGTTGGGAACCACTGTTCTGAACCCATTAAACTCTCTACACACACCGGCAGCACATTAGGGGAGGGAAAGGGCTAGGCGAGAGGTTCACCGACATGCTAGTTTCCTCCATTCGCTTGTTTTGTACAGAGGGCCGCTTAGGCTGCCTGCAGTCCGAGAAACACACCATGGAGCGCTACCTTCCATGCGACATGGCGGGACTTACTTTAGAGTAAATGTGAATTATGCGAGCCACCCCCTCTCCCCCCACTCGCCTGCCTTCGGTTTGCAGCAGTTGCATCCAGACACGGGTTTGTCCTGCCCCGTCTCGTGAGAAACAGGCCACGATCTGGTGGTGGGCGATGCGAATTGCGGGGGAAAGGGACGCGGATGCCCCCCCAAACACACACCAGGTATAATAGGGGGGGAGCTGGGGGGGGGACCAAGGCGAGCGGGCGCAGGAGGTGCGCCGTGAGGGGGAGGGAAAGGGGTATTACCTGCAGCCAACGAAGGGTTACCTGCGGACAGCGAACTCATCGCGGGCCTTTCCCGGGGCTCCCTCCCCTCAGCAGCGCGACGGGGCCACCGCTCCAAAGCCCCCGAAGCTCTTCCTCCTCCGCCGCCGCCGCCTCTCGGCGCTCATCGTTCTCCGCCCAGCCCGAGAGTAGAAGCAGCAAGAGCAGCGGCCGCGGAAGAAGCAGTGGCAGCAGCCAATAGCGGAAGCGCCCGCAGGAGCCCTTTTCCCTTTCCCTTTCTCTTCCCCGCCTCCCTCGACGCAGCGCCGGCTTCCGCCCAATCTCGCCCGCCTCACGTGATCCTTTACAACGGCCGCCGCCGCCCCACCTCCGCGCTGCAAACCAAAGCCTCGCGACGGCCCGAGCAAAGAAGCGAGGCACGCCGGGATTTGTAGTCCCGCGCGGCTCCGTTCCCCTTTAACTTTTGCGCGAGGGTTAAACGGACGGCGAAGGGCGCCGTTCTCAGCGTGCAGCGCGGGCGCGCGGAGCATGGCGGGATTTGTAGTGCCGAGTTTCTGTCAGGGCTTCATCTCTGGGGAGGTTGTGTCGTGAGGGGAAGCTATTTCTCGTCTCTTAATGCCACGGCCTCGTCCACCCTGACCTTGGAGTGCGTCTCACTGGAATGAGTGGGGCTTACTCGCGAGTAGGCATGCCTAGGTCTGTAGTGCCAGGATGCTCCCAGACAAAGGGCTTGGGTGCTTGGTTTTGTTTTATTTTTAAAACACTTCTTTATAATGCTTTGTAGTCGAGAGGATTCCATAAGCCGTAAAATATTTGCAGCAAGCAACATTTAAAATAATAATAATAATAATAATAATAGGCATAGCGCTTGGGAGACCATGGTGCGAGTCTCTCCTCAGCCATAAAGCTCGCTAAGTAACCTTGGGCCAGTCACCATTTCTCAGCCTAGACTACCTCCCAGGGATGTTGTGAGGATTGAAATGGAGAGGAGGAGGAGAACCTTGAGCTCCTTGGGAGAATAGGCAAAGTATAAATGTAATGAACACCAACACCCATAGCAGCCACGGGTCAATGCCCGGGAAAATGCTTGGGCAAACTAGTGTTTTATATATATTTATTTATTTGGTTTTTCAGATTAAAGTTTTACTATCACATATCCAACATATAACATAAAAACAAGATTAAAAGTGTTTCCTGGACTTCCCTCCGCCCCTTTGTGGGTCCTATTGTAAATCATTTCCTCCTGAATATTTTATAATACAATCCAAATCTTTTACATCTCCGTTATGTCCAAAATTCACCATCACACTACAAGTGTTATTCCAATCCTACTAACAATTTTAGCTGTTTACAATGGTTTTTAAGGTAAATTATAAATTTCCCCCCATTCCTTATTAATATTTTGGTCTTCTGATTGTTCTGGTCAAAAAAAAAAGGCAAACTAGTGTGTTTTAAGCAAGGGCTGGAAACTATGTAGTTGTTGGAGCCAGTGTGGTGTAGTGGTTAAGAGCGATAGACTTGTAATCTGGTGAACCAGGTTCGCTTCCCTGCTCCTCCACATTCAGCTGCTGGGTGACCTTGGGCTAGTCACACTTCTCTGAAGTCTCTCAGCCTCACTCATCTCACAGAGTGTTTGTTGTGGGGAAGGAAGGGAAAGGGAGATTGTTAGCCGCTTTGAGGCTCCTCAGGGTAGTGATAAAGCAGGATATCAAATCCAAACTCTTCTTCTAACTTTACCTCGGCTAGGAGAGTATTTCACAAGGTAGCTGCCACCACAGAAAAGGCTCTCCTGGTTTCCACAGTTTGGGGTACATCAGAAAAGTGTCGGCTGAAGATATTGGTGAACGGTGGCAGGTCTATATAAAAGAAGGTGTTCTCTCAGGTAATCTGACCCAAGTTACTGCAAATGAATCATTCAGATGCCACAAGCAGGCCATTGGCATACTATTAAAAAATAATAATACTGGCTTTTATTTTGATGCTGAGGGTACATGGAAGTTGTAACAAAAACTTACATGCGTGAGCAGCACCAGTAAATGCCCATCTGGAAGCACCCTAAATCACCTGAGTTCCCAGAATAAAAACCCATAAAAACACCTGAAGTCACCTGGCTTGTTTTAAACCAGTCTTCGACAAGCTGATGCCTTCCATGTCTTTTGGAATCAGTCCCAGGCATCGTAAAAACTTCCAAACATGTCGGCTTGGTCATGTGGGGAGGAAGGGGAGCAATTGAGCCCAAGGCTTGCAGCTTATTCATGTTATGCTATATTTGTCAAAATGCAGCAAGAGATCTTGGCTGGATCATCTGTGCAACCAAGTTCCACACAAGGAAGTCAATCAGGCAGGTGGTCACTGCGGAAAACCATTTCCCAAGCCCTAAGCTTGACATGTTTTCTGAGTGTAAGGCTGGCAAGGCTCCTTGTGCTGCAGTTCCCAAGCACCTGGCAACCGGCTGGTTGGGACAACTTACCTGCCATTTTCCAGATGTCATTATGAAATCAGATGACTGACAGGTGGGTTGACTGCCCACATGTCGAAGTTGACCCACAGGGGTGGGGACAGATGACAATCTGGCCCACCAGGCTAAAAAGGTTCCTACCCTGTGCTAAACCAAGGCTTAGTGTGGTATTTTCATATGACCAGTGAGTTGAAAAGTACGGTTTAAATTTGCTCCTTGCAGCATGACAACCTAAATACATTCCTAAGACATAATATTTTTTTTTGCATAGAATGTTCATTCCCATCTTTTGTGGTATTGAAATGGTAGACAAAATATGAAAGCGATACACCTCTTGCCCACCAGTTTTTGAGACGCCCAGTCTCTTTACTGAGCCATGTGGGCCATCATCTGCTTCATCACAAGCCATTTGTACTCATTTTGTCTCAGCTGGGACTTCATCTGCTTTACTACTATCTCTAGTCTTTAGCTTTCTCCTAACCAAGGATTCCACTTTATCTGGGTAGAATCTCATATTATGGCCCTATTTCTACAATCCTTTTGGCCTACAATAGCCATGGTTTTTAGTCAGCAATGGTTTATAGCCACACAGCCATCAGTATGTGATGAAGATCAATCACTGCTGATCACCGTTTGCTGGGCGAGAGTGAGGACTCACAGTGGCTCTCCAGATATTTGAGTTCAATATCTGGAGTTCAGCTCCCATGAGCCCCAGCCAGTGTGGCCAATGGTCAGGGATGATGGGAGTTGTAGTCCAAAACATCTGCCATAGGTCGGAGAAGGTTCGCCTGGAGTCTAGTGACACCTTAAAGGCAAACAAATTATGGCATAAGCTGTCATAGAGTAGAGCCCACTTCATCAGATGCATGGAGCATGCTCCCAATTTACCGTATGCATATAAAACATGATTGTAAAGGAAGGGAAAACGTAAAGGTTGGGGTTAAATGGCAATATAATGCAAATACTAGACAACCGAGTTAGAGCTTATATGCAAAATGACTTTTCACAGAAACAGTAAGTAACTGGTTGTTATAACAACCAACAGCCTGTGGAGGGTTGCAGGCTTTTCATCCTTGTGCTAAGGGAAGGAAGGTGTCGGTGCAGTCATTTATTATTCAGTCTTCATTTCTAGGAATGGTATAGTGATGAAGGGTTGTTGACATTTAATTTTGGTATCTACTTTGTTCTCTTAAAGTTTACCCCTTCCTTACCCCTTTACATAAATTTTCTTCATAAATGTTTTGACTAGTAGATGTTCTAGTTTACCCTGGAAATAGGTCAATACGTGCTAATTTTCTGCAGTTGCCATCAAGCTGCAGTCAACTATCACTTGCTTTTGAGAGCTTAGCTAGGGCTTTACGATTAATGGAGTTTAATAGTAGCTATTTGTTTTGGGGGTTTTGGATTTGTGTTAATTTGATCCTGTTCTTTTCTTTATATTTCAGAGGACACAAGTATTCATCAAGCTGTGACCTGTAAGAGTGAAGATCCTATATTATATGGATTCTATAACAGAGCATAATTTTTATTTAGATAAAGTATGGGTGCAGTGTGAGAACAGCAGCTGTTTAAAATGGAGACTCTTATCACATGATGATGCAACACATATTACTCCTAATGAACCATGGTATTGTTATATGAATCCTGATCCTTGGTTTAACAACTGTTCTGTTTCTGAAGAACATTTTCCAGAGGAGTCTCAGTTTCAAAAACATGGATTAAAATATGTGTATTCAAAGCTTCCTCTAGGAAGCTTAGTTTTGGTGAAAATGTACCGGTGGCCAAGGTAAGGTTTAAAAATTTAACATTTAATTGCAGGTAACACAGATTCGCTATATATTTTGAATGCAGTAGTCTGAGAAGACATAAAAACAATTCTAGCCTTGAAGAATGGGGGATAAAACAATTTTCCATTCTACTCCAGTTATTCTGTTCTGATATTGTCTCAGGAGGCCTAGTTAAAAAGTATACCAAAACAGTATGCTTCAGAAAAAAATAGGAGAAAGTGGAAAACATGTTTGTTTGTTTTTGTTTGTTTGTTTTAAAAAAAGATTGTTCATGATAAGCACAAGCAAATGTTACAAGAACAAGGACTAGAATGCCAAACTAGCAGGCTGTGGATTTGTGAATGCTGTACTGCAGATCCCCATCCCCATCAAGTACATAGGATTGCTCTGCAATGTGCCTTTATTTTGAAAGACAAGTTATTAAAGATCCCTGCGCTGGTGTGTGTGTGTGTGTGTGTGTGTGTGTGTGTGTATAAAGTTGCCAGTTATTGATGTTTCTGACTAAAAAAAAAATTGGGAGCATGTGTATTATATGCTTTTTCTTTCTCCGAACTGATTTTTTGAAAACATTTTATTTTAAGATGGCCTGCCATTCTTTGTCCTGATCCTACTAATGGACAGTATGTAACATACGACTCGGATGGAGATGTTGAAAGTCATCATGTAGAATTCCTGGGAAAACCCCATTCTAGGAGCTGGGCTGCTATAAAATATATTAGCATTTATCCTAGCTCATTTAAGGTAAGAGTTTTTAAAACTGTATTTGTTTTCTTATTGATCATAACTTTAAAACCACGTAATACATATCTGCTAGATATGAACTTCCCTCATAACTAAAAAACAAAAAAACACCTCATAGAAGCAGAATGTTGGGATTGAAAATTTAGATTTGTCAACAAATTTTTTAGGGTTATACAGAACACCCATTACCTCTGACTTATAGATTCCAATGTACGGCAGCTTACACCTACCACTTGAATGGCCAGCAAGGTAATTTTTGAAAGAACTGGTTTTTATTTATTTATTTATTGCTTGCTTTATTCTAGGCATTTGTACCCTGACAGCTGATGAATTATTAGGCCAAAATTCCACCGATCCTCTCTTTGGAGTAGCTGGAGAAATGAATTTGGTTTCTCCATTTCTCCAAAGGATGGTTGGTACTGTCAGAAATGACTTCACCCATTTGTTAAATAATACACAGATTCAAACTTGCAAGAATCACAGTTCTGGTTAGTGGCTGTGGATTTATTTTGAAAATTCCATACACTTCTGCATGGAAAAGGTTCTGCTATTAGAAGCCTTAAAAAATCTATGTAAACGGCATATATTGAGCTAATAATGTGAAGCCTGCCAGACCTGATGGGGTCTGTAAATGTACCAAATTCTAAATTGATCTAAAGAAAATTGCCACAGGTGCAGCAACTTTCACGAAAACTACAGATGCACTTTATTCAGTGCTGAGGAAGGCAATCTTTCACTGTTTGATAAGGTTCTGAGTAGCGTTAAAAAGGTTATTAAGATTTTCATGCCCCATCATTGAGGGCTGTAGCAGCAACTGTGGGCAAAAAAAGGAAGATAGGATATGCACAGATTGATTTTTGAAGCAGAATTTTTGCCAGGATTACAACAGTATACAGTGGTACCTCGGGTTACATACGCTTCAGGTTACATACACTTCAGGTTACATATGCTTCAGGTTACAGACTCCGCTAACCCAGAAATAGTACCTCGGGTTAAGAACTTTGCTTCAGGATGAGAACAGAAATCGTGCTCCGACGGCGCGGCAGCAGCAGGAGGCACCATTAGCTAAAGTGGTGCTTCAGGTTAAGAACAGTTTCAGGTTAAGAACAGACCTCCGGAACGAATTAAGTACTTAACCCGAGGTACCACTGTATACAGAAGCTACATACTGGATGCTGTGAGCAATGCCTATTTATTTGGTTATGAAATATGACAGGGGAGCAGTGGTTTGGCAAGTGTTTGTCAACCTTTAGAAATCTGAGACGTATTGGGAAACCTGAGATGATTCCCTGTAACAAGATTGCTCTAGCATTGTAGTAAGGCTCTGATGCTTCATAAGGCAATACAGGACTAAGACGTGGGGCATTTTTGCTGACTCTAGAACTTCATCCTCACCATCTGGATTTCTCCTAAAAGACCAAGGAAAAGCACAATTTGTGATATTGCATTACATCATTATGGTGTGCATCCATTATGTGGTATATCAGCCTTAGCTTCCAGTTGCCTGGCTTTGTGAAGCCAACATGTGAGAGCCTTAAATCTGGTCCTAAACTGGATTTTAAAAATAATAGTAATGAAATAGTAACAGACAGAGAGTCACAGTAATGTGGTACTCTTGTAACCCCAGACAAACATTTATTTCAAGCTCATACTGTGGCAAGGAGAATGAAGTTGAAGTGGAGGAGAGCAACCAGCCTTAGCTTGCAGTTTGTCTAGATAAACTCTAAAACTGGAGAATTACAGTTCATTCACTACCTTTAATGCACAAGATTTAACTTTTGGAATTCAGAACATGCTTTGCTCATCTAGGCCAACAGCAGATAGATGTTCCAATTACATAACTTTATTCCAACAGAGATTAGGCAATCTTCATCTGTTGCTGACTTTAAATTAGCTTAAAGACGCAGGTTTATTTCATTTTATGTAAGAAATTTATATACCACCCCTTGCCAAAAGGCCACAGGGTGGTTTACTGCATAGTATCATGTTAGCATGATTTAGCTACTTAAAATAATGTCCACAAAATACAAAAAAAAAAGAGTTATATAACTGCTTCATAATAATAAATACATAGTTGGTTACAGTGTTTAAGTATTTGCAATGTCAACACAGCAAAAACCCACAACTCAACCCCTCCCTGCAAAATACAAGAGTCTAATAACACATTATCATTTACTGTAGAATATAATGTGTTTAACAACAACAGTAGTATAACTATATAAAAGCCTTTTAACCTAAGATATTGGATGCTGTTCTTCAGAGTGAGGTGTGGGACTTTTTGTTTTGGTATGCTGGTCTAAATGCTTTTGGGATGGACTTGGATACATTAAACTGTTTAAAAGAATGTTGCTGATGGGTTTTATGGACATGTACTGTATTTGTATATGGTTGTAAACCATTTTGAGAAACAATCTTGCCTAAAAAGCAGTCTAAATGTCTATAAAATACAGCATGAATTAAACTGTCAACATACCTTTACTGTTTTGATCAAATTAGCTGTCTACCAACAGATGAATTTTCCATACACATGCTAGCGTTTACGGATTTCGTTTTTACTAGTCAAAGGCTTCTTTGTTAGCTTCTGGGTCAGAGGCTGTGTATACAGTTTGTTTTCTCATTTGCACATTGTTGTACATGTTAGAACAGTTGGATATGTTTCCACATCACCTGCTGTAAGTCCACATCTGTGGCTGGAGAGGGTTTTGAAGAATATATTTCAATATATTTTTGTAGTCCCAAGTCAATTTATGTGGTTAGTTGCATCACGGTTAGGAAGTTTTGATTGTAACCACTTTCCCATTCAATCTGATGAAAAAACTGTAATGGTTTTAATAATAATAATAATAATTTTTATTTATACCCCGCCCTCCCCGGCCAAGGCTGGGCTCAGGGTGGCTAACAAGCAATAATAAAAACAAGTTGAATGAATACAACTTAAAAACAAGATTAAAATACAACATTAAAATATTGAAACATTAAAATATTAAAATGCAGCCTCATCACAGGAGGAAAAAGGAAAAAGAAAGAGGGGGAGGGAATCAAATTGGCTCCAAGCCAAAGGCCAGGCGGAACAACTCTGTCTTACAGGCCCTGCGGAAAGAAATCAGATCCTGCAGGGCCCTGGTCTCATGAGGCAGAGCGTTCCACCAGGCCCTGGCTCTGGTTGAAACTAATCTAACTTCCTTAGGGCCCGGGACCACTGGGGTGTTGCTCTTTATGGACCTTGAGGCTCTCCGTGGGACATACCAGGAGAGGCGGTCCCATAGGTACGAGGGTCCTGGGCCGTGAAGGGCTTTAAAGGTCAAAACCAGCACCTTAAATCTCACCCTGTACTCCACTGGGAGCCAGTGCAGCTGGAAAAGCAGTTAAGTTAAGTTGATTTCACCACTCACTTCTGTTGAGCGGTTGTGGTGTGATGTTCTTTTACCTCCTTAATATTCAGCTGTCAGCAGTGGTTTTCAAACAGCAAATGTCAAGATCCATTCACTTTTTTATGTTATCAAAGTTAAGTGTTAGTTTTGGTACAACATAAAAATGCTGCTCAAATCTTTTCTTTTGCTCCTTTTAGTGCGGGTAAAGTTTCTTCCTATTTATTGTATGAACTCTTCTGTAGCTAAATCTCCTGCCAATCATTTAGTAGTTTGATAAAACGCCCTTAAATCTCCTCTTATTTCTGCCATTTCCACTTCAAATGCCTGCCTATCAATAAATGCTCTTCTGTCCTCTGATTGATCTTTGAAACTCCATCATATTTTTTTCTTTATTCTTCCTTTCATTCTCTACTTGGCCTGTTTTCTTTTTATGTGACATTGCAAATCTACTCCTTTCTTCTTCCCTTACCAAATTCAAGGACAGTCACTGTTGACTAAAGAAATGACTGATGACTGTTCTCAGGCCTTTTCCATGTCATTATCTGAGAGACGGAAAAGCCAGAAAGCAGATATACACAGTCAGTCTTTATTTGGCTGTTGTCATACTGTCTCCACTCAAGGCCATAATCTTATAGCTCTATTTGCAGGAAGTAAATGTGGCTTAGCTTCAGCTGCATCAGCTTACAGTCTTTATTCAACCTTTCTTGGAACACGCACCAGGCTAATGATCTATTGGTTTCACACATTTGTGTATTCATAAGCCATCCTTTAGGACAGGAATGCCCAACCTCTGGAAATGTAGGTTCACGTTAAGAATTATGTAGAAGAGGGAATTTCAGCAGATGCAAGTTGTGCTGCCATAGCGCTGCAGCTTTGTCACTTGAAACGCCCCAATTCTAAAATGCTTGCTATCACTGCTTTTAAAAGTTTCCTGGCTTTTTTAAGGCAGCTACTCCAAAAGCCGCATATGAATACTGTTATGTATTGAAGTACTCACCCTGGCCACCAGGGGTATTGTGTATATAGTTTTCACTCAGGTCTACGTCAGTTAATTTAGGCGGGAAATCCTGGGATGTTGTTGTTACAATGTTGACAGCCAGCTGCCTATAAAAGCAGGCCAGCTGAGCTGTTCAGTTCAGTCCCAGCTTACTATAAAGAACCACTTGGAGAAATCTCTGTGTCGTCTGCTTTGTCAACCCACTACTTAATAAATACAGTAATATATATATATATATATATATATATATATATATACATATATATATATAAATTAATTGGCACAACATTTGACCTCTGCTGTGTACTTCTCTCTGAATCCTATTTTCAGGACATTCTTCTTTGGGAGAGCTTTTTGATTATGTATTATAGGGAAATGGTTGTGATTCTCTGTCTCAACATCTAATAAACAGATGACTTAACTGCCAGCTAGGTATGGGGTGGGGGGAAACTTCTACCGTTAAAGGAATACTCTAGCTGAATGGGTAATCATAAACAATTATACTTTTGCAGCAGAATTCTGAAATACATTGCTCCAGAATAAATAGCACAGGTAACAACTTACTATTTTATACTTTTTAAGCCAGGCTTCCTCAACCTCGGCCCTCCAGATGTTTTGAGACTACAATTCCCATCATCCCTGACCACTGGTCCTGCTAGCTAGGGATCATGGGAGTTGTAGGCCAAAAAACATCTGGAGGGCCGAGGTTGAGGAAGCCTGTTTTAGGCCATACAGTTATTGGAGCATCTGTATGGCTCCTCAAATGTATCCAAGCAATAGTGCTACATTTTGATGGCAAAAATGAGGGTGGTTACAGAGCCTAGATGATTCAAACAGCTTCTAAACACAGGATGGTGCTCTGTTGATCAAGAAGTGGCTCTACTTTATAAGCAGACAAGCCTGCTATTAAGATTAACTCAGATATAATTACCACAAATTGCACTTGAACCAAAGGCTTCTTGACATTGTGAATTCCTTTGTCGGTTTCTGAAATTAGCCTGTTCCTGATATTTTCCTTTATCCCCAAGTGGTTTACTATCTTCACAGATATGAAAACACCACAAAATAGTAATAAAGCACACTATAGTGAAAACAACAAGAAGTAAACATTCATATCTTTTAATTACTGGCCAGAATAATTGCATATGCATAAAGTAGATTAGTCTTAAAAATAGAGGTGGCAGAGATAAAATGTGAAACCCAGAAACATTACCAATTAATAATTTTCAGAGATATTTAGAAATTGTTATCCTATGCAATCCATTAAGGAAAGCTTAGTTTAATAAAATTGTCTTAACTAGATCTAGTAAAAATATTAACTAAAGGCTTAACGTACCATGTTTTAAGTCCACTGCAGCTTCTGGTTCTGACAACATCTGAATACCGTATTTTTCGCTCTATAAGACGCACCAGACCACAAGACTGGTTTTTGGAGGAGGAAAACAAGAAAAAAAATATTCTGAATCTCAGAAGCCAGAACAGCAAGAGGGATCACTGTGCAGTGAAAGCAGCAATCCCTTTTGCTGTTCTGGCTTCTGTGATAGCTGCGCAGCCTGCATTTGCTCCATAAGACGTGCACACATTTCCCCTTACTTTTTAGGAGGGGAAAAGTGAGTCTTATAGAGCAAAAAATACGGTACTTGTTTTCAGTGCCACAGCTCCTGCTTTTGGGTTTGCTGTTTTCATTGGTATAGCTCCAGAAAATGCAGGTATCTTTTTATTTTTGTCAGTGCTGGTAAGTCAGTTGTACTGCACTTACCCTACTCACTGGTGTGAGATCATAACACTTGAATGAGCATGTAAAATATCCATCTGGGAGATGCTGCCATTCGGGGGCCCATATAGCATTTTAGAGTTAATCTGTGCTTTAGTTTGAAGTTTGGCTGATATATCTTAAGCATTTTAATTATAAGCTCCTGAGTTATTCCGAAGTTCCAAATAAAAGTTTGAATATTTAATATTATGATCTAGAAATTGCTTTTCAAAAATCAGTTGCTCTTATCTCATGATGGAACCTGCCCAAAAGATTCTCAGTGACAGCTGCCAAGTCAGTTACTTTTGGTGAATTTCTGTCCTGTTTATAAATCCAGATAATTTGCACTTTGTAAAGGCAAGTTTAAATAACCTTGCATTTGAAATTTCCTGGTTGGAATCTATGTATCAATTCTGGATTGGAATCCATGTGTTATAGATGTATAGCTATTAGGTGTTAATACATGCATTTTGAATTTTCCACTGATTAAAAAGTACTTAAATCTGTTTCCAAGCAAATATGAGGCTCACATAATAAACCCTTCCTGCCAGCAGCACTTATCTTGTTGCAGTCTCAGAAAGCAGCCAAGGTAGAAGGGAGGGAGGCCGCTGGTATATGCAGGGAGTTCATTTCTGAGAGTGCACACCAAATAAACTAGTATTGAGACCAACTACTACTAGGGACCGTTGCACTCCAGGAGTAGCTTCCATGGGCGTAACCCTTCAGAGCAGGATTAACCAAAGATCGTAATTCAAGCTGTGAAAACATTTGTGGTGGGCTTCTGATGCTCATCTCATGTTTGAAGTAAGCATTGCCAAGCCCCCAAAGTTAATTCCCAGGCTGAGCCTAGCAAACTTCAGTGGCATTGGTACCTCAAATTATAAAAAGGTAAAGGACCCCTGACAGTTAAGTCCAGTCGCGAATGACTCTGGGGTTGTGGCGCTCATCTCGCTTTACTGGCCGAGGGAGCCGATGTTTGTCTGCAGACAGTTTTTCTGGGTCATGTGGCCAGTATGACTAAGCTGCTTCTGGCAAAACCAGAGCAGTGCACGGAAACACCATTTACCTCTAAGTTTTGTAGAGGAAAAATACCCCAATGTGAATAGAATAATCAATACAAAATAGGATAATTCTACTACTGGAATATTTGAAAAGCTTTTTTTTTGAAAAGGGAAGTTTCATTCTGATTCCAAAATCATTTACAGCCTGAAATACAGTTCAGTTAAAACCTAAGAACTAGGATTTAAACATATACTGCATAATCAGCTTAGATCTGTATGTCATCTTAATTGGATAATGGATTAGAGTTTGAAATGGTTAAGCTGGAATACACAAATGAGGTATCTTGAAAGAGCTATAGTGAGGTTTTTTAAGCCCTAGGAATTGCTTTATTAGATTAGATCAAATGCCTATCTAGTTGCACATGCTGTTTAAAACAGTGAGTAAGTCAGATGTTTGGAAGCTTGCAAGCGGAGTAACCATGGAGATGGCTATCTCCAGTAATTTCCCCCAGTATCTGGTTATTAAAAGTATGATGCCTGAATATGGAGGCTCTATTATTATTATTATTATTATTATTATTATTATTTACTATTACAGCTAATAGACTTACAGATCAATGACTTTCTGTACTAAGTTTCCATCTAATTTAGCAGCCATCACTGTTTCTTAGCTATGGTTTGCACAAGTTGATTCCTTTTGCTTATTTTAATTGAAACAAGTGAGCAATTTTATTGGATGGGCTGGGAAGCTAAAATTTAGGGAGAGAATGATTTCTCTACCTATTTCAACATTTTATGAATCTGTATCATGTATCCCCTTAGTCATGCTTTCTGTCATCGTAAAACCACTGCTTTATTTCCCTAATCACTTTAGTTGCTACTTTCTGTACCTTCTCCAGTTATCCTTTTAGAAATTGAGTTACCAGAGGTGAACACAGTGTTCTGAAAGGCAGTGCAGCTTCTACTAACACATTTGGATAGGAAGACTATCTTTAGCTGTTTTTGTCCCAATGGATATCTGAGATCAGATGTAACTCCTCTTAGGGGAGAAAATATGGAAGAGAAACGATCTGAGGAAAGAACAATTTGAGGGAGAAAGTTCAGCATCCTCCTCGCCATGGGTGTAGCCAGCATTTTTGTGGGGGAGGGAGAGCAGGCCTTTTGTATGAACTTGGGGAGGAGGCACAAGTTTCCTACCCTTAAGTTAGGTTCTTTCGTCCCTCAGATTCCTTGCAATCAAATTTTAAGATGATCTTTTAGAATATGTATTTCACCACAAGGTGGCGCACATGTATATTGAAAACGCACTAGCTTGAATCCTTTGTACTGTAAATAACTTTCTTGGAAATTCCTTATTTGTATGCTTGTACTGTCAAGAAAATACCTTAAATCAAGTAATACACATTTCATCACAATGTCATTTCTTTAAAAAGTGTGCATTACTGCATTATGTGTGCACATAATTGTTGTGCATACATTACTATATCAAACTGAAGAGGTTGTGAATGACGTCTTCCCTTGTAATTAGCATGTATCCGCCTTGATAGACACACAAAAGGATGACTACTTTTGCTATCATAATTCTAGTTTTGTTTGTTTTTTTAATTACAAGTATTCAAAGGGCAAACGGGTCTTTCATTACGCATAGTTATTTGGAGCAATTAAGGGAATTAAAATAATTAGGATTTTGTGTTAGCTGTTCTGAAAAAAAGGTGATTTTTCAGGAAGATTATGTTAATTGAACCAACTATGGAGATCTAACAACACAATTTATTTTAGTTTTTGCTCTTAACATTTGTGCTTGGGGTTTTTTAAAAAATAAATAAATCAAAAGCTTGCAAACAAACAGTGTAGTTCATTCGGTTTATTAAAATAATTACCCTTTTCTATTCTGTGTATGCTCCTATATAATATAAAGTTGCAGGTTCAGGGAGGATCATGCACAAACGCAACGAGGATGCAGAGCATTCCTTGCAAAGAGCAAGTCGTTACTTTTGTATGGTGCGTATACTTAAAAAGTTAGCTTCGCCTATTTGAACAGCTTCATGGTTTGGACAGCTATACAGAATACGTAGGGTTGGATTCAGAGATAGGCATGCTTAAATTAGTCATGTATTCCAACTTAATCCCATTGATTTTAGTGGGTCTGTGCTAAAGTTGACTTAAGTTTAGATTCCATCCCATTGGTTTCTCTGGGTCTGTTTAAAAAATACTAAACTGTATTTAACTCAGAGTTTAATAATAATAATAATGGGAGTTAAAAGGATGTTAATAAAAAGACTTGGCTTGGGGTAAGAGCATTATTTATCGAGTATTACTCTGAAGCAACAACATTCATTTTAGTAAGACTTGTATATAATTTGAAAACAACGGGTTGCACCAGAAACTGAAGTGGGTACAAAAATAAAAAAGCAATACTGGGAAAGCCTGCGTAATTGTTGTGGGTCATGCTAATTTTCCCAAACGCAGAGAGGTGAATGGGAAGCTAACCAGCTGCTCAACCTTGTTAGATGACACCAAGCTTGGAAATGTCTTCTAAAGCTACAATTCTAAATGAATTTATATGTAAATAAAGTCTAATTCAATCCATTGGACCTTACTTCCAAGTAAACATGAATAGGACCAATTTGTAATCTTAAGTGATTCTACAGTATGGAAAAACTGGTTTCTTTCCAATGTGTTGTCATTTTGGCTGAGGTTGGCTTGGACTAACGTTATTCCCCTTTTTATTTGTTTGTTGCAGGGGCATTTATTTCAGAAGTTTAGGAAAGCAAAAACAATTTAATAAAGTGTTTGTGTGCTGGGTACATATGTTGTCCCCTTTGTTGTGATCCGTGGTATTACTGGCCCTTTGATTATTTTTTAATGTAGTAGTCAAGGCTAAAGGTCAAATGAGGGCATGGTTAATAACATTCCCGCAGCTATTCCTTTTGAAGCCTTTACCAACCCAGAATAAAATAAAAATAAAATCATGTCATTGATCCTATTTGTGCATGAGATCTTAACGAAACTTCTGGGTTCACAACATCATCTGTGAATGTGCTTGGATTCCCAAGGCAGAATTGCTAACCAAGGTTGTGTGCCCATGTCAGGAGTCCAGTCCCTGGCTTGATAACACAGCGAGCGTAATTAAAAAGGATGATTTATTGTCAAACCAAACAGACAACTCCGGATGGCCCTAACACAGCCCCCGCCATCATCAGTCATGATGACCCTTCTGAAGCCTGCTTCCGGTGAGACTAGAAGCAACTGAACTTTCACTTCACACATCTTTTTTACTTCCTATCTTGGAGCCCTCCCATTCGTGGAGACCTCAGACTGAGTGCGTCAGCACCCTACTCTTCCCCATTCTCCGAGAGGCTGTCTTTTAATTCTTCCTTCCGGAGAGCTTTGACTGCATTCTAGCTGGCTCCCTGCCATTCCCTTATCGGTCGGTCGGCATTCCAAGGGGCGGTGGAGTTGGCACAAACCGATGCTCATCCTGCATGGCAGTTAACCCTCTCTGTTCCTTCCTGCTGTCTTCCGCTGGCAGCAACCCTTCCCTGGGAGGTGGCTCATTCATGACAGCACATTACTGGTGTAAAATGCAACCAGGTTGTTATTTTTCTTAATTTGGATCGAAGCTGGGCTGGAGAAAAACACATCAGAACAGTAATTCATTAAAAAACAACATCACCAGATCGTGTCTAATGTTGTGGGTAAACCAATTCCCAAACTATCAGTTGGAGTGTCATGGTCCGGTTTACGGGCGGTTGAAGTCCTGGTAGAGGACGTCGGGACTAGGGGCAAGACGGCGGGGTGGGAGCAGGAACGAGAGTCCAGAAGCCAGGAGTCAAGAAGTCGAGGATCCGAGGATCAGGAAGCAAGGAGTCAAGAAGCCAAGGGTCCGAGGATCAGGAAGCAAGGAGTCAAGAAGCCAAGGGTCCGAGGGTCAGGAATCAAGGAGTCAAGAAGCCAAACAACAAGGCAGGAAGCGTGTTGCTGTGGCAAAGAGCCAAAGGGAAATGCTAACCTTATATCCCTTCCCGGCTCTTGCCACCAGGTGCTGTGAGTTACCAATTGGCCTCACCTGTGCGGCCGCGCCTTGCCTCTTGAGAACAAACTTAGGAAAGCCCCGGGTCCTGCAAAACCCTACTGGTCACAGGGCCTGGCTCCTGCACGCACTCCTGACACAGCGTGCCTTGGGTGCAGAGTAAATGGGAGTGTGTACACAGCCTAAGTGTTGAAAAATGACATGCTTCAAAAGTATTTTGACTTTTCAAAACACGTTTCCATTTGTATTTTGACTTTTAAAAGTTGAAGCCAGTGGTTCCTAAAGGGGGCGGGTGCCACCCCCTGCGGGATGGTGGGATTACCTAGGGAGGCACTTAGAGGCATGGGGGCAGCAGCTGGAGGTGCAAATGACTATAACAGTTAGAAAAGCTGGTATCACCGGATCAAGTTTGTGAGGAAATTAAACTAGTTTTAATTAGGTTTTGAATAAGTGTGCAATTAATTTTTTACTTTGTTGATTTTTATTGTGTGATGTCCCTCAGTGGGTCGTGCAAACCACTATTTAGAATAATATTCTTTTTTTACAGGGTAGGGGGCACTGGGGAGTAGCTCATGGAACCAAGGGGGCAATAGCCCCCCCAAGTTTGAGACCTTGGTCTAGGCCCCATGAGAGCAGTGCTTGGAAGCTTTACTTGCAATGGTCGTTAATGTTTTTTGGTTTTGATTTAGAATGTCACTGTGCACACTAATTCTCCCAATACTGGCAGTTGTATAGATACCTTAGATCATCCTTGCATGGACCTAGAAGTTTGAAGGCTGTCTGAGGAGAAACAGGGAGCCCAGGACCATATGTCTACAAGGCAGTACAATCTTAAATGTTTCAATAACAAATGCTTTTAGCCAGGGCTTTTCCCCCCCAGTCCGAACTCACCAGAACTCAGTTCCAGCACCACTTTCTCTAGAAAAAATAGCACTGCTTTTAGCCATTTTACTCTGCTTGGTATTTGTATTTTAAAGGGGTGCATGAGATCTGGATAAAGAGACAAGCCTATTGTGAAAGGGGTATACCCAAGACAGATGAGTCAGCTTGTATAAGAGAAAGAGATGCCACCATTTTTGATAGGTAGGAAAATGAAATTATATATATTTTTTGCAAGGTTCAAAGTGACCTTGTGTATTAGGAGCTGATCCATAAATCCATGAGGGTACTATAGTTGAGTGCTTTATTATCTCAACTTTGAACTAGAACTCTAAAGTGTTTCTTAGGCTGCTTTTATGCATTAACTGCAAGATGTACAGTATACATAAATAATTTGCTTGCTTCCTTTACTCCATTTTTCCGGATATAAAATGTGTTTCTTTTTATAAATCCACATTTGCTGGAATATGAGTGGCATGGTTTGTTTCTTTGCTTTGTGGGGATTCTAGAGAACATATTATGGGGCATCTGTATAAATATAGTAAATAAATAACTAAATAATTGATAGGGCAGATATTCCTCGTCAAAGGTAGTACAGTAAGCCTGCAACTTATGTTCACCTTACCTACGCGATCTCAATAAATAAAACACAGGAAAAATCAAAATATTTTAATTTAAATGCACTTTGGACTCAGATAACTAGTAACTGCAGGGGTGTTAGTTGAAGAAAATTATGCTGTACAGGTTTCATAATTCATAGTACCACATGGGTATAGCATAGATCAGAACTGAGCAGAGCCAACAAGCTATTTTGCTGCTTGAGGAAAAGGTCAATATGGCACCCTCCCTGTTCCAAATGCAAAAGCCAGCTCTTATTTGGTGAAAGGACCACATCCTCTCCCCTACCTGAGGGCAACAGAATAACTTAAGAGGTGCAAAGGGAATGGTAGAAGGATTCCCATCTCCGACATTAGCCACCCGAGGCAGCTGTCTCACTCTGTCTAATGGTAGGAGCAACCGTGGAACTAAAGAAGAGCAGGGCCCAAGGCAATAGTCAAGAAAGCATGCAGAAACTGTTTCCTTCCCTTCTCTGAAGAGATAACATTGGTGAAAGCAGCCTTTTGTCTATAGAGGACTAGATTGAGATTCCACGCTCCCCTACACAAACTGTATCTTCCTGTAGGAAACTAATCCAGCATGATGTGCTTCAAAAAATAGACTGTCTGTTGACAAGATGATGGTAAAAAGAAAGAAAATATTAATAACTTCTAATCAGTTCTCTTTATTATCAAGGAGAATGCAATTTACAATTTCTGCATAAGCAGGGATTAGATGTTGAGTTTAGTTACTGGTGCCTAGCAACAAGCTAAAGGCATTTCTGTTAGATTTGTTTTCTATAATATTAAGGTAACCCTCTAAACTTAAATCTCTTTAATCATATAGCCTATATTTTGGGATTGTATAAATTAAGAATAGGAGCCTTTCATCTTTGCCTCTGAAGACTTCTCTCCCCCCCCCCAACTTTGATTTCAGTTCAGTAAATGCAAATGCTAACAAACAGCATTACCAAGTTGCAATATATTGTTTGATCAGCAAGTACTGCATTGAAGTTCATTGTTTCAAAGGTTCCAGGTCATGCTCATAGTTTTGCTAACTATTGTGCCTTAAGCCTACAAGAGAAATTGCATAACAATTGAAATGGTTATGACACATAGTTTAGATACCAATAAATGGCTCTGTACATAGCAGAACTGGGCATGTTCAAGACCATGTGAAAAATTGCGTGGCTTCTACAGTTCAGCTTCCACAGGCCTAGTTCACTGTAAACTACAGTTTCCTTTTGTCTAAACTATGCTGTATTCCTTTTTTCATTAATACAGGAGACTTCTTTCTCACCAGTGCTTCATTACACCGGAAGTCCTCAAAACAGCTTTATTTTTACTTCACTTTCACTTTATTTACCTTTCCACTCAAAGCAAAATAATTCTCAAAGACCTAATTATAGTTAGTACAAAACTTAGTAAAACAGCATATTTTTACTGGTTTGGGCTGAAGTCATATCTACAGTACAACTATTTGAACTCAATAGGGCTTCCTTCTGAGTAGACTTGTATAGAATTTCACTGTTAATATGTTGTTTCAAATGCCCACATTTAAATTATAAAGTTGTAAATACATGGGATTTTTTAAAATGATTGATTGCATATGTAGTTGATACTGGATTTCACAGTGTAGTCAAGGCAGGTGTCTGGATTTACATTCATTTATAAGCTCCCAAAAATGAAGAGTTCAAAACTCTACCAACAGCACCTAACTCAGGATGAGGCAAATACATTTTGATCTATGAGACAAAATCAAACCTCTTCCTCGTTTAAATTGGAGAAATAGACAACTTGCTGTCCTTTAATGTCACCCAAAACTGCCAAATATGGGTCAGCTGTGTGTGTCTCTGCCTCATGTAAGTTCTAAAAACTGATATGAATAGCTAATATATTTTTTTAATGGATGTTTCCATTTGGGGGAAAGGTATTAAAATGGGTTCATAATCTTAGATTTATAAATATATAATTATATATATTTGCAACTGCAGGTGTATGTAACACATCCAAGACTAGCTGAGTCCATGCATTTTTTTCCCACGTATTTGTAATTTCAGAAACATAGTACTAATACTTTGATAGCTAATATAATGTGTGTGTTTTTCTGTAGGCCAATGTATACAAGAGGGGGAAAGTCTGGTATGAAAGTGCATTAGAAGAAGCAAACAAATTGCTGGCCTGTTCTGCTCAGCAAAGGCTTGAAATGTGCTACCTCTCAAAAAAGGGTACAGTTGTATGGCTTTCTGTCTATATATTGACTTCATTGTTTGTTTGTATGCAAAGTGGATACTACAGTAATTGTAATACACTAGTAATTGTACTATACAGTAATATAATGATTTCAAATTATTAAATGAAAACTAAGGCTTTCTATGTATAAGTGCTTCATGCAGATTGCTTGTGACCCTCGCTCCTTTATCCGTCTTCTACTCTGAGTGCTCATTCATGACATGCACCCGTTTGATATGTGGGGGTTGATTCTGCACAACATGTGTCCCTTCAAGGAGTGGCTGGATTGCTGCCATGGTCCTCCCTGTAATACACATGATATTTTCTGTAGCTGTCTCATCTATGTTGACCGTGTCATAATCCTGAATGACATTTCCAGAACATATCAATTGTAGATAGTGAGGCTGGTGCTGCTTACTGGGAGGAGGGGTGAGGCAGCAGTGAGGTCAGCATGGTGCGAGGGCACTGGCAGAGCCATTCTTGCACTCCTGGCAGTGCACTTCCATGGCACTAACCTCTCCACCACCTCCCCGCTTCCCTTCTACTTTCCAGTAAGCAGCAGCAGCATAAGCAAATGGAGGTAAGGTGAGCAGCACAGCCCCCAAAAATCATCCACTGCTGGAAAACACGACCACCAGAGGTGATAAAGGTAAAGGTAAAGGGACCCCTGACCATTAGGTCCGGTCGTGACCGACTCTGGGGTTGCGTCGCTCATCTCGCTTTATTGGCCAAGAGAGCCGGCGTACAGCTTCCGGGTCATGTGGCCAGCATGACTAAGCCACTTCTGGCGAACCAGAGCAGCACACGGAAACGCCATTTACCTTCCCGCCAGAGCGGTACCTATTTATCTACCTGCACTTTGACGTGCTTTCGAATTGCTAGGTTGGCAGGAGCAGGGACCGAGCAACGGGAGCGCACCCCGTTGCGGGGATTTGAACCGCCGACCTTCTGATTGGCAAGTCCTAGGCTCTGTGATTTAACCCACAGTGCCACCAGAGGTGATAGCACTGTGTAAAACAATTCCACAGGCGGGGGGGGGCGCAGGTAAGCCCCACCCCACATAATTGATCACAAGATGTAGCACATGCACACCATTTGAATGGCAATGCCCTTCAACCGGGGGGGGGGAGCTCAGCCCCCTCAAATCTTTCGGGGGGGGCAAAGGGACCTCAGCCCCCAGGGGTTGGCTCTTATGTCCACAGCAGATTAAACTATGTGTGTTTGGTGCATATCTGGAAATCTTGTGCAGGTAGTTATAGCAGTACAGAAAGGTACCATTCAATCCGTTATAATATAATTATATATTTAATAAAATAATTTTTTGTACCAGTACTACATCTTGTTATTACAACGTGATGTATCAGAGAACAGATCGGAATAACTATGAAAAGTAATTTTGTTTGCCAGTAAACTATTTTTACTCAGTTATTGCTTTTGTTCATTTACCAATATATTTTTTTTAGATGCAGTAAAGAATAAAGAAGCCGAAACCAAATCTAACATGATCACTTGCAGAAAAAATGTAAGATTTAATATGTATTCTTACATTCTTAATGGATTGGTGGAGCCTACTCGTTTGCAGACCAAAGTTACACTTTCAGCTTCAATTTCTTGTTGTTGCTGCTGCTGCTGTTGTGGTAAAGGTAAAGGTAAAGGTACCCCTGCCCGTACGGGCCAGTCTTGACAGACTCTAGGGTTGTGCGCTCATTTCACTCTAGAGGCCGGGAGCCAGCGCTGTCCGCAGACACTTCCGGGTCACGTGGCCAGCGTGACAAAGCTGCTCTGGCGAACCGGCACCAGAGCAGCACACGGAACGCCGTTTACCTTCCCGCTAGAAAGTGGTACCTATTTATCTACTTGCACTTAATTGTGCTTTTGAACTGCTAGGTGGGCAGGAGCTGGGACCGAAAGACGGGAGCTCACCCCGCCACGGGGATTCGAACCGCCGACCATGCGATCGGCAAGTCCTAGGCGCTGAGGTTTTACCCACAGCGCCACCCGCGTCCCTTGCTGTTGTGGTGCTGTTATCATTATCTCAGTGGCATTTCCTTGATAGTGGAATTCACTTCCTAGGGAAGTGCAGTTGCCTCCCACACTATTAATTTTTAGAAATCAGCTGAAGGCATGTGAGTTTTCCCAGGCTTTGGGGAGGTAAATCTTCCTTAAATCTAGCAGCATTATTGTGCTGTTGTGCCTTAATGTTGTTTTTAGTTTTGTAGCTTTCAGACGTTTAAATTATTCTGTGTAAATGGTTGTTTTTATTATGCTGTGCACCGCCCTGGAATCCTCCAGGCGAAGGTTAGTGTATAAACACAATAAATAATAATAATAATAACCTGTCTGACACAGTTGTTTCATTTTCACCGATCTCATACCTGCTTTTTTTGCAACCTTGTTTGAGATACAGTATTGTCCTTAGCTTATTTAAAATATGCTTGAATTTGAGGTTGGTCCCATTAGTTCATACATTTTCCTATTTTCTCTGTGTATTATGCTTAATCAACATTTTAAGTGAACAACTTTGGGGGAGGGGATGAGAATTTAAAGAGATAAATATAGAGAATAAAGCGATAAATATAGAGAGAATTTAAATATAGAATCTCACTTAGAAATGAAACAACATAACACCTCTGTTACCTTACCATGGTAACACTTCTTGACGTTATACAAATTGGTAACCAGCATACATTTTGGACAGGTGTCGACCGAAATATGTGATGGGAGTGAAGTGGACTGGAGCGGGTGGGGGGGAGTGATTTTATGAGTTTGTGAATTCTAATAAAATACTGGGCACAACTGTTTTTGACGTAGAGGAGAATCAGCTTCACTTTTACAGAAAGAGTAAAGAGCTGAACTAAACCTTCAGAAAAGGTATTGTCAAACACCACCACCCCTTGGTGAATTTCCCCCAGCCAGCTGTTTCAACTAGTAAAACTCCCTATGTGAGTTGTGCTACCCAAATGGTAAGATTCTCAGTCCCCAGTCGTTGTCTGTGATGGCTCCTGGTGAAGATGGCGTTGACCGTGGCTCACATTTTGAATCCTACTGAAACAACACGACTGGGGTGTACGAGGGAAGTTTAGCACATGCATACTGATCGCAGCAGCAAACATAACATCGTGTTAAATAAAAATATTAAATACGGAAAGCTTCAAAGTATGTTTTTTTGTTGTTGTTATGTTTCTTAGACAAGAACCTGGACAAAAACTTGTGGAACGGAAAGTAGCTGCAGAACTGGAAGAAAGAAAAGGTAAGCATTGGGTTAGTTTGACTTTATTTGGTTACTTTTTTAAACCATCCCATCGGCAGCCTATTAACACTACAATTACTGTGCCAAGTTGTGTTGTTATAAGATGGTGGTTCCCTCTTTTCTATAAAAAGAGGAGCTGGAACTCACCATGAACTCCTCCTTCTCTTATAATGGCAATGGTGCCTACCTGAGAGGTACCAGAACTGAGTTCTGGTGAGTTCCGGCTGAGAAAAATGCCCTGGTGGCTCCCATGATGCTGAAGGAAACGATTTTTGCACTAGTTTGCACTTGGCATTCATTCTGATTTGCTTGCACAAAGCTTATGTGGTGGTTAGATCATGTTCAGTCTCTACTGAGCATCCCTTCTGATTTGTTTGCAAGGCGGATATATGAATTTGAGCCAACATCATGATTTGCTGGTGGGGTGCTGCTTATACATCTTCCTGTTATGTTCATCGCATTTCCCCTTCACATTCAAGACCACAGAAGTCCAGTATTTTAAAAGTGGATTTTTTGTGCTAGGGTAACAAAATACTTCCCTATTTTTTCCGGGGTGGGGGGTTGTTTTCAGTAGAGAGAAAACTTTTTAAAAGCAGGAAACTTCAAAACAGATGAAGGAGCAAAAGAGTGTTTCTTCAACCTCACTTCTGAGGTTCTGAGTGGGCAGTTAAATTTCCTTCAGATTCCCACTCTCACCCCATTTAGGATCAAGCCCTATAATATTTAATATTCATGCTTATAGATTAAACATTCAACTTGTCTCTTACAAGCTTTTATTTTTTTTAGTTAGAGCAGACGGTCACTTTCACACATAATTTAGACTATTTATCTATCTGATTAGTGGATACAAAATGACTAAAAACAGTGACTAAAATTTAGCCTGCAATTTTTGTTTAAAGCTTTAGCTCAATACAGCTATAAATAAAAATTGCCCCTTCTAACATTTTCTCTTATCAAGGGGACACCAAAGGGACATAATCCTATTAATAAATGATCAAGTGGTTTGTGATAAATTATGCCTACAAGTAGTAACCGAAAAGGTTTTAAAGATGAGGTGCTTTTCACAAATACCTAGCAATACTCTTCTCATATAAAGGCAGGATTTGGAAGAGAATGCTTTCTGCATATAGAAGTATATGTTTCAAATATTATCTGATTCTTCTTGATTAGATATTCACAACAAATACATCAACTTTCTCTCTGTGTGTGTGCTTTTTAGGAAAATAACATTAAGAAGTTCATTTGAAATAGCGGGCTCAGAAGATGTATTGTCAGATGAAAATCTAGGTTTGTATAAATGTGTAGCAATATATTAAATCAGGACAGCCATATTTTCAAAGAATTTATTCATATCTAAGTAGGATACAGGACATGCACCTTTCACTGTGAAAACTAGTGCTTGTTTCTGAAATATAGTATTATGTCAGCCATATATGTGTGGTTATACGGAAAGAAACTGGGAAGTGTACATAGACAGTAACATTTCCACGTTGTTTGCAAATAATAAAAAATGGTTAAGTAAGTATTTTGCAAACAGAAATTAAAATGTCCTTGGATATTCCATGGAATCACAGTAGCTCAGTGGGGAAGCAGAAGGAGAAGTGATTTTGTGAATTTGTGAATTTGTGAATTTGTGCAAGCAGAGTGCTGCCTATGGATACAATCCTAGGTTAGCAGATCTCACCTCCGCATCCTGGTTTTGGATTATATAGCTAAGTAGACAGAAGGGGAGTCCAATTGCTTTTTGTAAAGCAGTACATGGTGGTAGCAGGTTATTATGGGAAATATTAAGGGGCACCAGAACTTAGTGCAGGCATAGGCAAAATCGGCCCTCCAGATGTTTGGGGGCTACAACGCCCATCATCCCTAGCTAACAGGACCAGTGGTCAGGGATGATGGGAGTTGTAGTCCCAAAACATCTGGAGGGCCAAGTTTGCCTATGCCTGCCTTAGTGGATCAGATAAGTGATTGACCTGAATCAGGGACCAGGGCCTTATAGGGGACCTCTCAAATAATACAAAACAGTTAAAGTAAATGTGTCGGGCTAAAGGGACTTTGCAGTCAGATTTGATTCTAAAGCTGGCTTTCTGCAAAGTTCAGAGAATGCTTTCTAATATTGTACTTCAAATTAGGAGGCATGAAATACCAATATCTAAGCATTCGTGGTTGTAGCTAAGGCGGGGCAGAGTGACAGCTGCCCTCCCCTAAACCAAGTAAATCAATAAAAATACTTAACTAACTGAGGTTCTGCCCCCCTAACATAAATCCTAACTACTCCCGTGTAAGCATCAATTACTAAATTTCATTTATTATCTTTGGTCCCTGTTGAACTGGCACATCTTCAGTTGGGTCAAGGAACAAAGTCATTGAAAGGGAACAGGGAAAGGAATAGCTGCTGTTGTATCACCCGAGACTTTTATTATAAAGCTGTGTTCAATTGGGAAAAGGTAAGAGCAGTACACTTGGCAAGATGAGGTTGTTTGCCAGCCTGTAGACTGCTTATACAGGATTTCCCCCAATCCCAAGGTTTAACCATGATCATGTTTACATTTCCCTCCATTGTCAGCTCAATGCAAATTCTCTAATACGCCCTCTGAGTTGCTGCAAATCCAAGCCATTTCAATGCTGACAAGTCCAATTTTAACTTTATTGTGTAGTTGCTGCCTAATGTATCTAAGATATATGAGATCCATACTGCAAGGCAGGCCCTTCGTAATGAGCTCCCAGGCTATTACATCTGTTACCAGCTATGGAAACATACAGATCACAGCATGTATTGCTAGACATTATTTTAAAAATACAACCCATCTCTTTTAAAGTAAAACATGCACAGTTGCATATCTTCTGCCTATTCTTCTCTGCTCGGTATCAAAGACCAGATATTAGCTGTTCTCCTGATGGCAGAATTTTTAACAAAGATGCAGGGACAGAGATAAAAGAAAAGGGGGAGGAGAAATCATATGTACAAAGTGAAAGATAGTCAACAGCAGCGTTCTGGATAGTGTAAAGGCACCTTTCAGTCTTGATTTCATTCTACCATGTGAGTCTTCTGTAATGCTCTAAATTGGCTTAGGTGCAAGTTCATATATTATTGCAAACAAGCTGTATTTCCTAGTGGATTCACATAGCCATTTTACACAGTGATAATGATTATCATGTAATGGCTTGATAGTCTAAAACAGCCATGTATTGACTTCTAGATACCTTTTAAATATGTATAACGTGTAAACAATAGTGACTGAGGGGAGTAAAGCTTTGTAGGGCATGATGATTGAAATAACCCACGTATGCAAGGCATCCTATTACTGTGAGAAATTACATTATATTGATTGTTTAGGATATTCTACATTCAAGAGAACTTTTAATTCTGCTAGCTAGCATGAGAGTTGTTGTGATTTTCCCCGTCTTTCCAAAATAAAAGTGTGTTGTTAGGTTCTTTTAATGGTGTACAAAATGTTTGCTTAGTATGCTGACAGCCATACTTGCAATAACTACAAGAGGCTCCTGTAAATTAAATGCTTCCTGCTGCCCCAGTTCTTCTAAATCACAGCAGTAGGGGTATTAGCTAACATTAAAGCAGACAGAAGTAGTATCTGCTGACTACATTTATTAAAGTTCTGTTTACAGCCTTAACTCCTCTGTACTTTCCCCATCAGTTCAAGGCTGAGCTTTTTAAAAGGAAAATTTGGAACTGCCCAGTGGTATGTGATTATAATTCGCAGGCAAAGCATGTCCCACTACAACACACCTGTGTGTTTTCCTTGTGTGCACACACATGCTTTTCTCCGTAATAATTGGGAGAAAGTTATCCAAACTTGGATTTTGACAGCTCTAATGCAGAAGGATTGCTTTCATATTAGGAATACTCTGTGGAGAGAAGGATTGGATTATATGGACACTGCCTTTGGCAGGGAGAGGAAAAATTGGTATGCCTGATCAGCGTCTGGAGTCCTAGGGGAGACTGGACTACTTAATTTACTTTTCATATTGTTGACACTTTTTGCATCACTTAACATAAAATAGCGTCTACACGACTTGAATTTTTGAACTGCCCATTTCCCTCCCTCTAACTTCCCATTCTGGGTTTGGCTGCCCATTAAAAAAAATTCCTGGTTCTGATATTATGACTAGTAATAAAGGGCACCATCCAACTTCATTAAAAGGCATGCAGATTATGCTGTTGATTTCTGTGGGTTTTGGAAAATCTGGCGTAGCAAAAAGCTTAAAGAATTCTGGCAACCATAAATGACATAGTTGTGGTTTTCTGTCCTGTGCCTGTATTATGCAGGAGGAGTCTAGATGGGAAAGCTATTAGGCAGTGGATATTGAGAGAAAGGGATGCGGGTGGCGCTGTGGGTTAAACCACAGAGCCTAGGACTTGCCAATCAGAAGGTTGGCAGTTCGAATCCCCACGATGGGGTGAACTCCTGTTGCTCGGCCCCTGCTCCTGCCAACCTAGCAGTTTGAAAGCACGTCAAAGTGCAAGTAGATAAATAGGTGCCGCTCCGGCGGGAAGGTAAACGGCGTTTCTGTGCGCGTCTCTGGTTTGCCAGAAGTGGCTTAGTCATGCTGGCCACATGACCCGGAAGCTGTACGCCGGCTCCCTCGGCCAATAAAACCAGATGAGCGCCGCAACCCCAGAGTCGGTCATGACTGGACCTAATGGTCAGGGGTCCCTTTACCTTTTTATTGAGAGAAATGTAGCATGGGGACAAGGGTTTCCCCACCCCCCCGCCCTTCAAGCCTGGATTTTAGAATTGACAGATGGGTTTGAAAGAAGACAATAATTCGTTTTTATAGTGAAAAGAATTGTGAAGCACTTCTTCAGTGTGATATCAAAGTAGCATTGAGCTTGTGTGAATCTCCAGAAACAGGATTTTACATCTCCATTGAAAAGAACACATAACCTACCATTCTTAATTGCTAGGTAAATGGAAGCCATACCTTGACACACTTGTAACTAGTGTGACTAATAGTGCATAGAGGTTAACACAATAAGTACCAGCTAAATAAGCCATAAAAAATACCTTTTCAGTGTAAAGCCTGCTATCAGTAGCTTCTGAGTGTCATGCACTAAATTGACTAGATATCTAACACATCTAAAGCTTTCCTAAGGTAACTTTAAAGGATGACACCAGTGAAAATTGGATTAGATTGTATCTAACCCTAACTGTAAGGTTTTATTTGATGCTTAATTAACTCTGGCTTCTAAGAACACAACTGAGACTTTATATTTCGACCAATAAAGTCACAAAGAATAATTTTCTATCCTCATATTGATTTATTTGGCTTGTTTGCTTTTACTTCAAATATAGTTGTCTTCTAAAAATTTCAAAAGCTAATTGCATCATAATGAGAATATTGTTTACCCCAAACACACTGAACAAGGTTATCGTTCACCTCACTTGAAACCAAAGTTTGGAAAGTAAAGAGATTCAAACTACACAAGAAAGATGGATTTGTGAGAGGGCAAGAAGTGAGTGTAGCTGTGATAGAACCTTCTATCTTTTTTTAAAAAAATGATGGTGGTGATGATTATGACAAATTAGACAATATTTTATCAGAAAAATAGATATACAAAGGCAGAATCAAACAAGACAAGATTAACAATTATAATTATATTAAATAATATTCAGACTAACAGCACAATCCTGTGTATGGGCATGATCCAGCACACCACAAGGAGTATCCACTAGCACTTCTCTGTCCTCTCCTCCCCATTCCAGCCCCCTGCCTAACTCCAAACACTGTTCTGGTATTTTTGAGAACCCTCAGAACAGATTTATCTTTCTGGGGGAATGGAGGATGGAGGGAGAAACTGGAAGTGCCATTGCACTAACAGAGGCTGCAGGTGAATGTACATAATTAGATCTCAAGGCTAAGGCAGAGGGCCTTCTCGGTAGTGGCGCCCGCCCTGTGGAATGCCCTCCCATCAGATGTCAAGGAAATAAACAACTGTCTGACTTTTAGAAGACATCTGCAGACAGCCCAGTTTAGGGAAGTTATTAGCATTTGATGTTTTATCATGTTTTTAATATTATGTTGGGAGCCACCCAGAGTGGCTGGGGAAACCAAGTCAGATGGGTGGGGTATAAATAAATTATTATTATTACATTAACTTAGTGGGTCTACTCTGAGTAAAGGTTAGTTGGATGCAACCCAATAGTTTTGGAAATTATTTTAGGGTTTTTTTTGTGGGGGGTGGGAGTTTCCCCCCATAATCTTTATCTGTAACTTAAATGCAATTAATTAATTTTACAGAAAATTTACATTCATAATTTATTTTTATTCATGCTTGGGATGTTATCTGTCCTCCAATACTTTGTGTACATTATTCTACCCATTTTAATCATGTATGCAATCATTTCACACTGTGTCAACAAAAGATTTTGTCTTTTTTGCCCAAGTTAGTGCAATTTATATTTGGATTAACTCTACCACAAATCAGATCATTCTGTTTGTTGCTATTTTAATATCAGACCAAAATTACATGCTGTGTGTCTGCCAAATATGATAAGAAGTTACTATTTTTGTTTACATTTCCAAATAAATAGGATTGTAATTACTAGTAATTTCTATCTGCATTTTATTTTAACTGAAACAGTTGGAATAATGTTCATTAACTCTATTTTGGCACCAATGCACTCATTTAATCTAACTATTTGCTTCAGTTGGTTGAGTTGTAGGATCTGTCTTTCACATGGCCATCCTAACCATGTCTAGTCAAAAGTAAGCCCTGTTGAATTACGTGGGTCTTACTTCCCAGATAAGTGAGGTTAGAATTGCATCCTTAAATTGTTAAGTGATCAGCACAAATGGAGTTTCCACCAGAAGCCAGTCAGGTTGACCCCAGTGAGAGCACTTGATTTCATTTTGTTGCATAGGAGTACAGTGCTATCTTGGTTCTTAAGCTTAATCCGTTCCAGAAGTCTGTTCCAAAACCAAAGCGTTCCAAAACCAAGGCGCGTTTTCCCATAGAAAGTAATGCAAAATGGATTAATCTGTTCCAGACCTTTAAAAACAATCCCTAAAACAGCAATTTAGCATGAATTTTACTATCTAACAAGACCATTGATCGATAAAATGAAAGCAATAATCAATGTACTGCATAGCTGTGAAAGTTTCCCTTTTTAAAAGTGAAATTCCCTTATTCCGAATAGGATTCCTCGCAAGAAAAGGGAAAAGTTGACAGCTATGATGTACTGTACTATAAAATAAATAAGACAGCATTGTAGATGATAAAAATTAAAATTGATTCTTTTTCCTTGCCTGCACTGATGATAGTCATTATTTGAAGGGGGGGGGCTTTTATCCATTTCCGCAGTCGCACAATCAATCCACCAGTAGCTGAACTGGGTTCAACACAGTCACAAAAACAAGTTAACCGAAAAAGCCTCAAAAACAAAAATGCAAAATAAATAGCAAAAACAAAAGCACCAAACTCAATCTGTTCCAGAAGTCCGTTTGACTTCCGAAATGTTTGAAAACCAAGGTTCAGCTTCTTATTGGTGCAGGTGCCCTGGAAAAAATAGCTGACAGCCGCATCGGACGTTCGGCTTCCGAAAAGCGTTCCAAAACCGGAACACTTACTTCCAGGTTTTCGGCGTTTGAGAACCAAAGCGTTTGAGAACCAAGGTACCACTGTAATGTCGTAGGAAACACTTTTCTTTTCGTATCTAGAATTAGGATGTTTGCCTGTTCCACTTAACACTTGTAGTCCAAGCAGTCGACTGAGCAATAAATAGCATTGCATAAATGTATAATGTATATGTAAGCTAAAATATTGCCATTTTTATTAGGTGTTTCTGAGACAGAAATGATACTAAAAGAACTGGACCACATTCTCAAGCATGTTGCAGCCCCCTCCTACCCATCTTTGGCATCATTTGTGGATGGAGAGAACAATAATGGGAGAGAAGAGGTATAAATTATTCATAGTTTCTCTACTAATTACGAATGATTGGAAAAACCACTTTAGTAGAATCCTTATTTTTGGCTTAGAAACACAACCTGAAATATTTACTTATCTTTTAATGTACTTACAAAAAGCATCCACACCAGGCGCTAAAGAGTTATATATTAGGGAATTATAAGACTGTTTGAAAAATGAAATAGTTAAAAGTGTACACCCTGCAATAAGTAGAAGTACATGCATCTAACAAGACCATTTTTGAAATATTTATCGCCGGGATCCCAGACCAGGGAAGCTGCAATCACTGATAACCTTGTTATTATTTGTATTGCATATATCTGCATACAAACAGGCAAAACAGCTACTACTATAATACTCCTCTGCCAAGCCAAGTTCCATATTTTTTAAAGGGGTAGAGGAACTTACGGCACTCTGAGAATTTTTAGTTCTTTGTTTTTATGGAAGGAGGAAGGAAGGGTAAAATATAAAATAAATTATCATTATTATTGTTGTTGTTGTTATTGTTATTGTTATTATTGCTGCAATATAATTCCTGAACATTTTCCAGGCATGCTGGAGAACAAACCTGCAACATTACAATTATTTAGATATTTATGTAGCATTTTAGCAACTTCAGCCTAGTGCACGCATTCAAAAGCTACTCCATGCAAAGTGTTCTGACTGTTTCCAAGAACACACAGAAAATGTAAATTATGTTGTAGGTCATAGAAGGACTTGTATTAGCAGTGGACCTTGGTATTATGCCACCCTGTGCTAGGCCAACATTTGACGCCCTCCTCCCAGCCCTCGTGGCACTGGCTTAAGCCCAACTTTGGGAATGAGACACAAGGCTCTGGCAGGGTCCTAGAGCCCTCCTACCTCCATCCCAAAGCCCAGTAAGTGCTTGCCCAGCTTTGGGAAGGAGGCAAGATGATTCTAGAACCCTGTCAGAGCCTCGCACCTCCTTCTTGAAGCTGGGCAAGTGCTTGCACCAGGCTTTGAGAAAGTGCCCTCCTCAGCTATGCCCTATAGCTGCCTCTGTATGTATCAAACATGATACAATGCCATTGAATTTTGTTCTGAAATTTGCACGACTTTCTTATCCAGAACCAGGAAAGTAGCAACCTTTTAGTATGAGTTTGCAGTTAAATTTTTACTTATTGTTTCTTAGTTACATTTGTGTACCACTTCCCAGCAAAGCCCACAGTTATCTTTCTTGCCGTTAATCCATCCAATATGCTGAATCAGAAAATGAAATGAAGGGAGGGATTATAACCGTTTTCCCCCGTTGACCTTCAATAACCCACATAAGGTTATCCAACAGTGTGAATGTATAACAATCCATCAATCAGTATTTGCAGCCTGTTCACATAACAGTTTTGTGAAAGGTTTAAAAAATAGCATTCCACTTTTCTAAAAAAAGAAGAGAGTGAGATTTAATGTCTGTTTGCATATGGTTTCATAGCTGTCAAGTGTCCCTTATTTGAAGGGACAGTCCCTTATTCCAGTGCCATGTCCCACTGCTGTCCCTTATTGATGGATGCCCCTTAAATGTCCCTTAAATGATGTCCCTTTAAATTTCAAAGCAGCTCCTTTCCCTCCCTCCCTGCCAGCCAGGGAGGAGGGAGGCTTGGCTGTTGCTTGGCTGTGTTGCTCACCCAATAAGAAGTCTAAGAACGACTGGGGGGTGGAGCTTGCATGCCTTGTGTATGGCTAGTTAATGCAAGCTGAGGGGGGTTTTGAATGCCGGACGCCATTTTGTTGCACGTGCTGCTGCAAACTTTGCAGTGCAAAGCCAGGCCGGGGAGCCATCTTAAGCTGAGGCTGCATAGGCGTTGTGGTGCATGTGATTCAGATTCTATTCAGCTGAACCTCTGGTTACAAAGTTGGTTGGACAGTGTTCTCGAAGCTACCCAGCATGAGTTTGACCAGACTGCAGGAGGACAGGAAGACTGGAGTGCCTGGAACAGGTGAGGCTGCAGGTCCCTTATTTTGGCTGTTGGTCCCTTATTTTCAAGGCTGCTGGTCCCTTATTTTCAAATCTGTAAGTTGACAGCTATGTATGGTGTGTAAACATGAACTCACATTTTTAGGTACATAGGAAGCTGGTGTATATCATTAGACCATTTCTCAATCCAGCTCAGTGTGGCTGCCACTAATTGGCAGGAGTCTGTCCAACCCAGGACTGGAAGTTGAATCTGGGATTTTTTGAATGCAAACAATGTGCTCTGAGCTGTTGCCCTCACCCAATTTTCTTCCATACATTTTACAGTATGGAGATTTGAAGGTTAATTTACCTTAAAACATAAATTAGGAACCAATGACCTTGATCCAGCACTAGTTGATTACAACTTTAATGCAAGAAGAGATTCTGAATAAGAAGAGTTGTAATTCCCATCTGCATTAGAAGAAGAAATAATAATAATAATAATAGTAATAAAGCACTACTAGCTGATACTAGATAGACAACTGCATTCAGATTGGTGTTCCATGTGTATGTCTGCTTCTGCTGGTAGCTCTCCATTCCTGTATCAGGTGAAGATTATCTGTTGCAAAATTGTATTTAATTTTAGAATACGAATATTTCCCCCCTTTTAGGTAGCTAACCTCTGCCTGGAGTGTACTGAAAAAAGGCCAATGGAAATCAACGCCCAAGAGGACTGTATTATAATTGATGGAAAAGCTTTCAAGGCTGGAGAGTGCATTGAGAGTATAACAGACAGGTTTAAGGAAATAGAGTCTTTAATGGCTGAATTCCAAGACAGCTTGTAGCGCTGATAAGAGAGAACCTATTATACTATTTACAGCTTTAGAGTGCATTCTTTTTCACATATAGAGGGAGATCCTTAACAGCAGTTCAACAATATAGTTACTGTGAAGTTTAACAATTTTTTTGGCCTGCTCATTGATAAAATTGATATCAAACTTAGTCCGTGTCCAGATTAAAATGTGTAATCCAACAGCACAGTCATGCACGTTTAGATGTCTTCACCTGATAATTATTTTCTCTCTCGCTGGCTTTAAGCAAATTGTAGATTTCTATAAATCAGAATGAAATAAAGAGCTATTTTACTTGAATATAGAGAGATTCTAAGCATTGTATTTCTCAGGCTTTCCAAAAAATAAGAGTTGTTTGCAACTCTTCAGGAAGTCATATAAAAATATCTTACGGGAATTTTTAGCTGGAAATTTCAGTTTTACATCCTCAGTCATATGGCTTTTCTAGTATGAACCACTGATGCCTCCTTTATTCCACATATATAATTACAATTGGGTTGTTCTCAGTGGGATTCATCTGTAGGCAACACAGCCTTGGAGGTTGAATATTTTGTTTAAAGATGTGTCCTTTCATAAATGGTAGTCATGCTTTACATTTTGGATAGATGCTAAAAGATGCATAGGAATAACTGTGACAAATTGTCTGTGGTATTATAAGTAGGAACTATAGGTAAATTCACAGTATCTTTTTTATGTGTCGATCTGCAACTCCATGTATCACTTGACTCAGCTAAAAAGATTCAGAAATAGGTTAAGCCAAGATGAAGGGAATTGTGATGTAATGAAATATAACAGTACCCACAGGATCAGATCATTATGTGAGACATCAATTCGTGAAGACTAGACCACACAATATACGGTCACATGAGCTATCTACACGTCAGTCACCGGGCCTCTCCAGACTGGTGTTTTACTGTGGTTGCATTCTGCAATATATTCTTGGCACAATAATTGTGCATTACTGGTGGATTTCCTCTGCTTTAGTTTATTCTGTGATGCTTCCCCAGTGCTACCACATTGTTGCTGTCTGGGGCTGGGGCCACCTTGCAACAATATATAAAATGTTACAGGATTTCAACAGGAATTTATGTGATATACACTAATTTGAAATAAAACTGTGTGACTATCCCCAAACCTTTGCAGTCACAAATAGTATTAAAAGCAGGATCATGTGTGACCATCCTGGTAGCATTATAAGCACAAATCATGAATGTGCAATAAAAAGGATGTCTGAAGGAGCCCACTTTTGGATGAAGAAAAAAACAACAATATTTTAAACCCCCCAGCTTCCTACCCCACCAAAAAAAACCCTGCCAGAGCCTATAAGTTGTGAATAGGTCTACATCTCACGAAAATAAGGAGTTAGTTTCCTGAGCTGCTTCAGACCTTTTAAAAAGATAAATAGTACAAATGGTCTTTACAGGATTAATGACTTGCCACAGATATTTATAGAAAATATAGCATAGAGGCGAGTCGGTGAGGAAGCAGTTGACCAAGCTGAGTGTATCATACCAAAGGAATTTGGTAGTTTCGCGATGAGCCTAACAAAAGCAACCAGGAGCCAGGAATCTGCCAGAATGCAAAAGAAGAGCTGGACCACTGTTAACATCAGGATCTGGGAGGCAAAATTTTGCAGGACCTGGACTGAGAAAGCCAGAGCTGGAAGATAGGTAAGCAAGACTGGGGAAGAATTTGAGTCAAATAACAGGCTGATAACAGAATTTGAGTCAAATAACAAATAACAGAATTTGAGTCAAATAACAAATAACAGAATTTGAGTTAAATAACAGGAGTCTGGGAAGTGTGTGGGGAGGGAATAAAGGACTAAGGAGACATTCAGTGATACATAATGAGCACAAAGACCTTCAGACAATACCTGTTGACCTGCATGTCCACAACCCCATCCCAACTAGGCTTGAGTGAAAGCCAATGTGGTATGATCGTTTTCTTACAGAAGTGAAACAGAGTCCAATGGAAAACCTAAGGGTACCAAGGCAGTAGCATAGTGGGGTATTTAGTCCAGAAAAGGATTTTGTTTCACTGAACTATATATTGAATTATGCAGTCATTTAACCACATACCTATTCCTGGAACATTATAATCTGGATAATGTGAGTTGTTTCTATTAGGGGTACATAACATGTGGCATAGACACTGATTAATTTGTGGACTAAAGGGAATGAGCCAATCAAAGAGTGTAGGGCTTTGAATCATTTGGTATTCATCCTCTTCACTCAGGTTTATTAAGATTTGAAACAGTGCTAAATGCTGAACATGTCTCCATATGCAGGATGCCTGGCTAAATTCAGGAGGTCTCCTATCTAAATTGTGATGTTAATTTTTTAGCTGTGTGAAATAGAAGAGGAGCCAATTTTCTGTCATAGGTTAATTTGGACCCTGCTAGGACTAAGGAATTGTCATCTAATGGATCATGATGGAAACGTACATCTCTATGCCATTTTGTGGAAACTGGAACTCTTTCTAACTCTAAATGACAGTTGTGTGAAACTGTGGCATCTTGAGGTGATTAGAACCTGATGATAAGGAAAAAGGAAAATCACACCTATTAGCAGTGCTATTTTTCTAGAAAAAGAGGGGCTGGAATTCACCATGAACACCTCCCTCATTCTCTTAGAATGGCAATGGCGCCCACCTGAGAGGTGCCGGAACTGAGTTCTGGTTAGTTCCAGATGGAAAAAAAGCCCTTCCTATTAAGCTGCTATAAAGAATACCCAACATCATCACAATGGATGTGGAATTATAAACATTGTTGAATTGTGTGAAAGAAAATGCTGGAATATTTCTAAGTGATTATGACCTAAGTACAGAAATACCAGAAAATAAGGATCCCAGTTCCTTTCCCCAGTTACATTATGGATATTTGTAGGCTGCATCTTATGGGAGCATTGACGTAAAGGCTGGAAAATTATGTTCTAGTCCCTGATCAATTAACGGGTATACAGGGAATAATTTTTCCTCTCTTTTTCCCAGTTGCTGCCTATCCAGCTCTTTTTCACTTGCTCTCCCCCAGCTCTATATGGTTAATTATGAGCTTTATTCTAAAATGCTATGTATCATAGGGAACTTAAAAATTTGGATATGCTGTGAAATTTAGAAAGTCTGTTTGCTAAACTATATGACCATATCTTCCATTAGAATAGGAATCAGCAAGCCCAAGATTCTCACTCAAATGGCCTTTATTACTTTGTCAATGCAATTATGCTGCTATTATGCTGTTTCTAATCCATATTATTTTCTAAGTACTAAATTGCTGTCTTAGATAATAATATGATTTGAATGAAGCATTGTAAATCAACAAACCCAACTGATTTGTTTCAATTACAGTCTGTGAATCAGTGATCTTTTATCACTGGTTGTCTTCACTTCCTGACCCACTGAGGTTGCTAATGTACAAATCTGAACCCTGACTAGATCACTAAATTAACACAATATAAAGCGGGGAAGATTTGACCAAACTGCAGGAGGCAGTGGAAGACAGGAGTGCCTGGCGTGCTCTGGTCCATGGGGTCACAAAGAGTCGGACACGACTAAACGACTAAACAACAACAACAACAAAGCGGGGAAGAACTAATCGAGTGGTGTTCTTCACTCAGGTTTGTTAGGATTGTGTGAAGGTGCTAAAACGGGTAGGGGACGTGTGACCCTCCAGAGGTTGCTGAACTCACATCACCTCTACCATTGGCCATCATGTCTGGGACCAATGGGAACGGCAGTCTAGCAACATCTAGAGGGCCACAGGTTCTGAAAGCCTATGCTAAAGAATATAGTCTCTAGAATATAGTCTCTAGAATGAGAAAACCAGCCAGAAGGCAGAATAGTTCTATTTACTTGCATGACCACCATTCACGACTAAATAAGAAAACCCAGCTGTTACTGCAAAGAGTCATGGCTGCAACTGCTGACAGACATGGTTAGGATTGCACTGTTGAGGCCATGTGCTTCAGCTATAACCAATGCTCTTTGACTAGATCAGACTCATGAAAACTATCCAGTCTTGCCTCCTAACTGTGCCTTGATCCTCCCTTAGCTAATTTCTCAAGTTGTTCCTGTTTCAAAACCTACCTTGTTCTTTGACAACCTATGGCTTTGTTCCATCCTTCTAATTTGGCACTTCGTTCCACGGGCACAAAGCTATGACTTGATGTTTACCCTGTCCTGCTACTTCTATTTCTGATTCCCTTTTCCTTTATTTCTAACACTGACTTCTAAACGTCCTCTGGCTATTCAGAGCATTCTCTTCCCGCAACCATCAAGGCAGCATACAGGTGCCTTCCCTGGTCCTAATGCTAAATGGAACATTTCATACTAGATTAGGCTATTTTTCCCAGCCAGGAATTGGAGAAAAGTTTGATTCATTTCGCATTTAAAGGTGAACCTGCCTAATTCACATGTTGCAAAACCATACAAGAACTAGAACACAGTTATCCTTCAAAATCTGCACTTCTCCTAATTTTGTAGCGCAGTTCTCCAGTCCACTGTGAACAAAAAGGCAGGTACCTGGGTAAAGCGCACATTAAAAATGTACACATTAGTGAAAATGATATAAAACAATGCATTATTTTGGGAGAAATTGCTTTGCAAAAATGTGTACCTTAGGCAAATTGCATACAAATGTTTCTATTAAAATGCTGATTAATTTTCACGAGAGCATTAAAAAATAAATAAATCACAAACTGAGTGCAACTGTGGAGAATTAAACTTCAGATAGGAAAAACAAGAAACCAAAGCAGACACACATTTGACTCAATACTGCCTATAGTTACTGGCAGCAGTTATTCAGGATTTTGGACAAAGGTCTTTCACAACACCTGATCGTTTGAACTGGGGATACTTAGGGCTTGAAACTTAGGGTGTTCTACTTGCAAAGGATGTGCTCTAATCCTATACCGATTGGTTAGAATGGAGATTGAAAGTGTGTTAAGAGGTAAATTGTTATACAGTGGTACCTCGGGTTACAGACGCTTCAGGTTATGTGTTTTCAGGTTGTGCACTGCGCCAAACCCGGAAGTACGGGAACGAGTTACTTCCGGGTTTCAGTGCTTGTGCAGAAGCACTAAATTGCGCTTTGCGCATGTGCAGAAACGCTGAATTGCGACCCACGCATGCGCAGATGCGGCGCTGCGGATTGCGAACACTGCGGGTTGCGAATGTGCCTCCTGCACGGATCACGTTCACAATCTGAGGTTCCACTGTATCTATGCAGGTATTAAAAGTAAGAGTGTGAGGGCATTTTTTAATAGGGGACCCCCAATAATGCATTTCAGTCTAACAAGAAACAT